AGACAACAGCAAATATTAATATAGTCAAATCACCCATCTTTTCCTTTTTCATTTCTGCCTTGGTGTATTATGCTCAAAATAACATAAATTTGTGGTTTATAATTTTCCAGCTATCTTTTGTTTTTGTTTCTAAAAATATCTCAGTTCTTGATCCATCAGAATGATTTTTTTCATATATTTAACTAATTGAATAATGTATATTTACTCATTTGAAATATCAATTTTATTGCATGTGAAATATTTATACACAGCTAGATCATTTGGGTTTATCTTCTGGTTTTATGGTAGTATTATCATTTTTTGGAATAGCATTTAAATTTGCATTTAATATTTATTATTATAAACTACCTGGAGGACCAGGCCACGGCCTGATGGTTACGGTAGCTGATACCACATGGCCGACCCCATAGTTCGAGTCCTGGACCTGGGTGCTTTGGAAACACTCCAGGTGTGTATGCATGTGTGCCCAAAATCACCCCAAAAGGAGGGGAAGAGAGAGCATGAGGGATTGTGGCATGACCCTTCCCTACAAAGGGTGCTTTCATCCTCTTCCTTTCGGTGACCTCGCACAAAGGCAAAACAGAACAAAACAAAACAAAACAAAAAATCTGGAATAGCACTACAAATTAATCCAATGTCTACTGTTGTAATGTATGACAATCCGAAATTCTGGGGAAAACCCTCAAAACGGAAGCTATGATAGTGTTCATTATCATTTTAAAACTAGATTTGCAAACTCAGCACGTAAGAGGTTATTTCTTCTCACTTTCCGTTTTCGAAATGACTGATTCAGTGAAAATGTACGTATTCGTTCATGAAACCCAGCGTGCCCACTGTATCTTTACACGCTTCCAAAGCAGTTAGAAATGGTCAGAAATTTAATTCCAGTCAATTGGTAAGTAGGTTTTGAGTTTCCACTATCTGCTAGGACATAATGTTTGATCCTGGTCATGCAAGGAACAGCAAGATGAACACCGTTTTCATCCACAAGTAACTCACCAATTCCAAGTTCCGTGATCAGTTTCAGGGGCTTCCAGGCCCCCTGTGAAGAATCCATGAATAGGTGATAGGTGATAGGATGGGACTAGTCGGACATGCAGGTCTGAGAGCATAATCACCCACGGAATGGCCTGTTATAGGAGCTGTAAAAACACATTTGTGTAGGTGGTTGGTGTTTTATGTTTCCCGTCCTTATCTCTGCATTGCTTCCTCAGCGTTGTGTGGATCTGGGAGCTCTCTCTAGCGGGGTCCCAGTGACCTCATTTACAACCCTTTGGATAAGAGCCCTCAGGCTGAAAAGGGTTTTGGAAAAATGTATTTTGCCCCTACAAGCTTCAGGAGGTTCACGGTACAGGGCAGGCCCCTTACCCTAATTGCCGCTGGCCTCGGAATAGCCTCAAAGTGTTATTTATCCTATTTTTAAAATGATAAGCTTTTCATTTCTTCATATTCCAGATGTGCTAGTGTTTTATTTATCTCCTCAAAATCTTACCGCATCTTTAGTCTTACTTAAATATTGTTCTACACAAGGTACTCTCCTTGTCCTTATTGAGAAAACAGTGAGGGAACTAGGTAAGTTCGTTTGCTTCTAACTCCTGAATCAGTTCATGTTGCATTTTGTGACAAGTAACACAAAAAGAAAGGAGAAAAGGGACCAGCAGTTAGAGTAATGGCTGTTGCTGGACTCCCACGTAGTCGACCACAGTTTGAGTCCCGGACCCTGTGGCTTAAAACTCACACTGGGCGTGTGTTCGTGCATGCCCAAAATCCCGAGAGGAGAACAGAGGAGAAGGGATTGCTGAAATGGGGTATAAATGCACAGATATCTGGCTTTGTAATTTTCCTCAGTCACCATCGCCGACAGACCTTCTGGAACAGAACAGCTACTTCCCCCAGGAGCATGGAGGACACACACTTGAGACTGTCAGCTGAGCCCCTTTCCTTCACTATGTGCTATTCAGCAAGTGGTATGGTGGATAAGATGCAGGATTCCCACATGGTTCACGGTGGTTCGAGCCCCAGACCTGGTGGCTTGAAAATCATGTCGGGTACATGTGTGTATGTGTCCAAAATCCTGAGAGGAGAATGGAGGAAAAGGGATTGTGGCATGGCTGTCCTCTGGGGGATGACTTCTCTCTCTTTGTTTCTCTCTCTCTCTCCATCTGTCTCTGGCGAGCACACATACCCTATGGCAAAAACCTTTAAAAAAAAAAAAAGAGTGGTGAGAGGTCTGGTATTTGAGAAGCACTGACTGAGGGTTGTGTGAGATGCACTTTCCTGTCAGTTCACAGAGTCTGTTCTTGTTGGGAATTAGATTAGGGCGTAATGCACTTGGCCGTGACCTTAGCTCCAGAAATAACACCACTCACAGCGTGCACGACCGCCTTCCCGGCTTTTATGACAAGTTGATCTTTTTACTTTATTTAAGGCAGGAAAAGAATTGTTCTGAATCGTCTGTTGATACCCTAATTATTGGGTCATCGGGAAAATCATGACACGTTTTTCTGTGCAAAAACGTGTCGTGACTTTCCCGAGGACCTAAGAGGTTGTGAGGACCCAAGGGCAGGGACTGCCATAACTAGCCTCCTTTTCTGGCTGTCCCACCTAACACAGTGGGTGCTCAGAGCACGAGAAACATTGCACACACATGAGGAGTCTTCAAACAGTTCGTGGGAGATGTGGATTAGGATAAAACCGTGCGTGATTTAAAATAAAAAATCTCTTTGCATTAAAATCTTGCAGTTCTATTTCCATTTTTGACAGGAATCTTTTCAAGTTCCCTCATATTGGTGGATTATGGGAAACATAGTATCCAAGGTATGCCAACATGTAGCAAGTTAGAAGACTTCGCAATGAAAGGAAACCCTGTCTTGTAAAGCTAAAATCTGGCTGTAGGTGAATCGTTTCATCAAGTGTGAATAACTTTAAAGAGGACTTCAAATATGTAGTCTGAACAGGTTTTGTTACTTTTTTTTAATACCAGAATGTACATGAACTTGCCAGAGAGAAAGAGTAAGAGAAAGAGTGAGGAAACTACCCCCACCACTGCCATGGGCCGTGGTTACACCATGGTCCTATTCTCCCGACTCTCTGCATCGCATTAGGATTCGGGGCATGCATGCACACACATCGGGCATGTGTTTCAAGCTGCCAGGGCCAGGATTTGACCTGCGGCGAGCCATATGGAATGTGGTTCCTGACATACAGTGGTCCTACCAGGCAGCCCTGTTACCAGATTTTTAAAAACTTGTTTTAGTTTGGGGGGCCAGCAGGTGGCATGGTGGTTAGGGCACTAGACTTCCACGTGGGGGACTACAGTTCGAGTCCTGGACCTGGAAGCTTGCTTTCTCACTGTCTCTTTCTCTGTCTGTCTCTCTCTCTCTGGTGAGCCCATGTGCCCCATAAAAAATGGATAAGTAAAAATAAAGTAATTATTTAAAAATCAAGTTTGAATAGTTTGAAAACACCTCAAGACTGTCCTTGTGAAGAAACAATCTCTTAAAACCAGGTCCTGACATTTTTTGAAATCAGTATGGGCAGAAGACAAGGATGTTCAAAATACTGCTATTAAAGCCATAACAAAAGGTTACAATTCTTCCTGGGACAGCTGTGACTTCGAACAGGTCCAGAGGGGCGATTCTGCTACGCCCTAGGGCCATCTCCTGTGGATTCCGAAAAGGGAGTCCAGCTGCTGAAGCAGGGAGCACAGAGGTGCTGAACTTGGCACCCAGCGCTGAGCTCTAGTGGAAAAATCATCTAAAGATGACCCCAAGCACAGTGGATTTATGCCATAAGCCATCTTTAGGGCTCAGGCCCACTTAAAAATCCTGGACTCAAAAACAATGCTGGAGAAATTACACTGCACCTCTCGTAGGCCCTTCGCTCCACACTTGCAGTGTCTACGAGAAAATCTCCAACGTGGTTTCCAGCCAAATACTGCACAGCCTTGCTACAACGGCTTTTAGACACGCGGGACGATCCTGGAGGTCAAATCGTGCTCCTGGAAAGGTAGCGCGTCCTACAAAGGCAGAAACAGCCTCATTCACAAATGGCCACGGTGACCGCCCTATCCCCCAAACGCCAGGCTCACGGTGCTGAGACGCTAAGGAACCGAGTTCGGAAAGCAGTGTAGACACCAAGAGCCACAGAATGCAGGTCCACCGCAAGTCTCCCACCCATGACTTTTCAGTAGATTCCCAAGGACCTGCCTGCAGGACGGGAGGGTGGATATGGGGAGGGAGAGAGGGGAACCGTCCCCTCCGGGAGGATACCCGCGCCCCTGCAGAGCCCGCTCCCACGGACTGCAGCGAGCCCCCGTGGGCCCCGGCCCGGGAAGGTGTCCGTGCGCTGCACCGGCCCCGCGGGGTGGAGGCGGGGACCCCGCCCGCTGGCCGGCCCTTCGCGGCGTCCGGGCGGGGG